AACAAAAATTTATCTGCAACTACTATGTGATGCTAATTCAATGCTTGAAAATTTTGGATCAATAAATATTGAAGATGTTTCTGTAGGACTATGCACAACTATTTGACGAATATGTGTATCACGACCACTTTGATGATTAGCTAATACTGCTATTTGAATCATCCATGTTTTTATTGGATTTGAACGTGCATCACGAGTTGGAACAATGACCCATCCAGCTGGTTCATGAATTTCAAAACATCTTAATTCAACTAAATTATTATGATTAATACCAGTTCGAATTGAGATTCTTAAAAATTAAAATATAATAAATATAAGAAGAGAACATAGGAGAGATAATAAATACTTTTGAGGTGTATAACTTTCATCAACTTTAAAATCTGAAAAAATACATAGATCTTTTATTTTGGTTTTTTGTTTAAATTGTATGTTGACTAAATGTGGTTGTGGACCATCTGATTGCCAATAAGTTTCAAGATTATCATCAAGTAGTTTATCTACACCATGACCTAAGAGTGAAGAGAAAATTTGTTAATATGCAATATTTAAATATTTAAGAAAATAAATGAATACCTACCAGGTTTACATGAAGATACATGCCAATATGCTTGTTTTGTTATATTTTGTACGATACCTTGTCTTTCATCTTCTGTCGGATCGATTTCTCGATTGTTTTTACTAACACGAATCGGTACTGTACAAATACTTGTAGTCATACTAGAACAAAAAGCCTCATGAAAGTTATTTTAAAAAAATATATATTTTCTTGGAAAAAATAAAACTATTATCAAAATTAAAAGTTACAAAAAAAAACAAAATCACTGTTATTAGTTAATTATTTTCTTGTTCATTGGTATTATTTCGTTCACTTGAATGATATATAAGATCAATAATTAAATCTTTATCAAGTTGAAAAAATTCTTTTTGTTTACATATTTCATTCATATTTTGTGAACATAAATCATAAATATAACGTAAGAAAAAATCAAATTTTGGTGACATTTGTTTTATACGACAATATGTTGATATAATTAAACCATGATTTGAACGTATATAATAAATAAGTTTTTCTATTGCCACATTTTTGCCAGATAATAAATTGATATTATGACAATAAATCATACATTTAAAAGCCAGATCATATGATATTGTTTGATGATAATTACTAGTATAAATAAAAAATAATATTTCAATAAATGTATCATAATCAACATCAGTTAATTCAATTGGATTTTTTTGAGAATTATTTGATAAAAGTGTACGAAAATATAACGAACGACAACATAATATATTTCTATGTGCATTTATTATTTTATTATCAACAAGAAATTGTGCATCTGTTTTGTTATTATCAAGTGTTTGTTTGTATAACATTAACATAGATTCTAATAATGTTCGACGACAAAAATTTATATCAAAAATGTTTGTACCAATTAATTCTAATTAATGAAAAAAACGATATGACGTGAAATAGAGACAATCGATCTTACTAATAGCTTGAAAACCAATTTGATCAGCATATCTTGGATCAATAGTAATACGAACAGTATTTGATTGAGAACGGTAACGTCGTAAAATTGGTTTAAATACAGTTGGAGATAATGATTTACTATTTGTATGTGATTTTTGTTGCCATAATGTATACCATTGATCTAAACAATCATACTAGTTCATAAATCTAAACGAAAATATTGATTATCTTACTTTTTTGAGATTCAAGCATTTCCAATTTAATAATACTACCGGGATTCAGACTTTCATAAATATGTATTTCATTAATAAATACTGGTGTTTGAAATGAAACAATGAAATATTCTTGTTGATTAGTATTTTTTAAAATCCATCCATTGTCAATTTTATCTTTGTCACCAAAATTAACATCTGTTGCTTGACATAATTTTTCAATACCGATACCTTTCGGTATAGATTGTTCATACTTCTGTCTATACGAACAATTTTCAATTAATTTAACCCATTGTTCACTTCCAACAGACATATCAGAATTCTATAATAAATTTAATAGAATCGAAATAAATTTTAATATGGAATTTCATACATTATTCACAGGTACAGCAACAACAATGTCTTCATAGTCAGAAGAAGAATCAGAATCAGAATCGTCTGATGTTTCTGCAAACATAAGTATTATGCAATAACAAAAATGAATAAAAAAAAGAAATTTAAACAACGAATCGTTGATATATCGAATAACCAATCTCCTTATTTCATACGATAGTTGTCACTAATAAAAGCCTTGACAGTTTTATTTGATTGATAATACAAAAAAAATTTTGTTATTTATTTTTTCGTGTTCGTTTAATTATTCTATCATTATTTATCGATGAAAAATGTCTTTTAATCCTAATCCATCAAACGATCGATAACTACATGTTAATAACCTCGATGTAAACATATGATTCAAATCATTTTAATACCAATTGAAACCAACATTCTTTGTTCAACAAAATAAGGTAATAGATCAGTTATAAAAAAAATACATGATTTATTTTTATTAATTAAGATTTTTCTAAAAATACCCAAAAAAATAGATGTGCATTAATATTCGAAATAAATTCTTCTATTTTTTTAGTTTTAGAATGGTAGATAAAGATAGTAAAAAACCATTTACTATACCAAAAACACATACATCCAGTAAAGGTATAGAGAAGTTATTCAAGTAAACTATATTATCAATTTATTCATTCAAGATGTGCTAATACCTGAAAAAACTGATAGTCGTAATGTAACGGAATTATATAATGATTTAAAAGCATGTGCATTAGAAGTACATTTTGATTTTCGACAAAATGAATGTCAATCTTGTGATACAATACGTAATCCAAAATTACAAAAATTATTCAAGTAGGATTAAAATTAAAAGTCAAGAAAAAACACAAAATTTCTTTTCTATTATTATTATTATTCAGTGCAAGAAGAATTGAAATGAAAAAATCTCAAGATCCAACTGAACGTTTTGCTTTTCATTTAATAACATCTCGAGATAGTGCATTAAATATTGCAACGAATGGTCTTACGTGTGAACAATTATCATTTTCAATTGATAAATATCTTGGTAAATTTATATATTCATTTTTATTTTGATCTATTTTATTCGTTTAAAGGAAATCCTAAGGATGGTATTCATCTATCAAGACGTCCAGATGTACTTCTAGCATCAACTGGTTCTCGGGGTCTTCATAAATTCGGATTACTAATCTGTAAAGTAAGAAAATCTATGAAAAAATTTTCATTACAAATAATTTCTTTTAGATACTTTTGGGTAAAGGTTATGCAACTATACCTTCAGAGAATAACAAACAATTGTCTGCACAATTACATTATGATTATCATTTTTGTAAAATTCAAACATTCAATAAAGAACAACGTCATATTGATAAATTATTAGCAAATTCTCTAGTAAGTTCTTGTACAAAATATACTGAATTTGTAGTTAACTAATTATTTCAAAGCAGTACGAATTTCATCTATTAATCTTGTTTTTGCTTGAAAGTTTGTCCATCAAGAACTCTTTATAATTCCGTTTACAGCTAAAAGTATCCGTAATAATAAATAATTTCTTCGTAAGATATTATATCGTTAATCAATGTACATACTTTTGAGAAACATCAAATTTCTATATAAATCTGTTATCTCATGAAGAAAACGTTTACGGTATTGGAAGCATACGACTAGTAAGAAAAGGACAACTTGTTTTAGATTTTATTTCCCCTTCGTTAGGATGTGCTACGTGATATCAATCTCATCTTCGTTTTTATTATAATCAAAATTCATAGACTTTTATTTTTCTTCTTAAGATCTTCTGCTATGAACATGGAGATTTGGAACCTATATCTCAGCCAACTCAAATTTTACCTATCGCTATTTTATGGTATGATCTTAAAGAAAAATTCTCATCTGAACTATTGTCAATAGCTCAAGAATCTCAACAACAATGTAATGGAAAAACAATGAAATTAGATAATTCATATAAAATTAAACCTATACCTAAACCAATTCTTTCAACAAATAATGGTACTTGGGATCCTCCTATTCAAGATACCACGAATAATCCAACTACACCAACAAATAATCTAACTATACAAACTACACCAACAAAATATCCTAGTCAATTTATGATACCATATCCAACACTTTATACATCATTTAGCAATATACAACCACAATCAATAAGTAATCGAGATCCTCGTTTAACACCAAAAAATCCTCCATCGGAAACAATTCCTTTATCACCACAAGATAAATTATTATTATCATCATCATCGAAACAATTAATAAATGAAAAACAAATATCTTTAGTAGATATTCCATTAAATTCAACTAGTCAATTAATTGATCCACGTTTACAAACAATAAAACAAACACATGATATTTTTTATCTTGAAACCAAAGCTGTTAAACATGCATTACATCAACAAAAACGTTTGAATAATTATTGTAATTCAAAAAATGGTATTCTATCAAGAAAAACAACGTATATACTTATACCATTTTTTATTCAATCAATATCATTAGATGAATATGAACGTATGAATAAAATATCGACATATACTCCGAAAAAAGAATATTCATCATTACATATTTCAGTTACTGATTGTTTTCATTTTGGTTTTAATAAAGCAGACAATGAAGTATATATTGATTTAGAAGAAAATCAAAATCAATTAGCTTATGAACAAATAAAAATTTCGAATCAATTAATTGAACATGAAAAACATTTAAATTATCAAGAAAGACGTTTGCATCTACGTGAAAAACGACAAAAAAAATTACAAAATCATGTTAATGAACCGAATAAACATGAATTACCTAATTCAAAAATTTATATTGATAATGGTCGAAAATTATTAAAACAACATCAAACTACGACATCATCATATACTCATGTATCATTAGAATTATTAGATTTTTTTTCTTATGAATATCAACATGAAACTCGACCACATGTAAAACGTATTTTAGCTGAACTTCTTGGAATTTTTGTTGAAAAATATGGCCTGCAATCTAAAGAAACCATACCAGATGATATTATAAATAATGATATAGAAGGTAAGATTAGTTGAGATTGTATCTCATAGTGTTTAGCTGTAATTGATACGGAGAAAGAGAGGATCGACTATTAGTTGTGATGATTTTGTAACTTATACCATGCTTATCTATTTTGAAATATTGTTAACGATTCTTATAGATGATATTTTCCTTACCTACCCTCAGGATCAGTGGCGGATTTAGAGTGGGGTGGGGGAGATGAGGGTGATCGCCCATCCCCTTCCGAATTTTTTTTGATTTTTTACAGGAAAAATAGACGAAAAAATAGATTCATACTACTTCGGTTAGATTCAAAAAATAGCTTTTAACCAATATCGCCCCTCCATACTCGAAAAAAATCGCCTCCCCCTCTTCCAAAATCTTAGATCTGCCACTGCTCAGGATGCATTCTATGATGAGGCTGAAGCTCGTTTTTTTCCGTATATATTTACAGTTTTTAAATAGATAATTATTTCTTCTTATTAAAGTTTCTTTTATCAACGATGAAACAATCAATTCTGTTATTGATATGGATCTCGAATCTCCATCTTCTCAAACATTAGGTGATTATGATGAACGCTTTTCCGCACCAACACCACCAATTACCGAATCAACGTATCATCTACCATTTAGTGAAACATCATCTAATCAAACGTCTGATAACTCAGCAAATAATAATAATCCTCAGTCTCCACAAATTGAATTAGCTTCATCTGAGTTTAATATGATTATTGATGATAATATTTCTAAGGAAAATACCGAACAAAATAATGATTCAAAACGAATTACTATAGCAGATATATCAATTCCAATAGAAACAGATATGAATCATTCATGTGAGGAATTGACTCCAATATTAACAAAAGAAACTGATACATTAAAATTAATTAATCCATCAACACTTTTCACTCAACGTAGACGATCTTACGATGATGATGAATTAAAAAAACTTTCAACAACAAAATCAGCGACACTTGATTCCAGTAGTCATGAAGATAATTTAATAGCTGATACAACAAATATTGATCAACAACAACCAACAGTTAAACGTATTAGAGTTGATTCTGTACCACTATCAAATAATGGTTTGTCTAATATTCTCCTATCAACTACGTATCTCTTTACTATCTTTTTTTTTAAAGGTACAAATCCTCTTGATGTAGTTACTAATAACCATGGTTATCATCAAGATTGTGATGAAAGAAGACGTCAAGAAGAATTAAGTAACACATCAGGACGTTCTCGTTCACAATCAACAAGTTCATATAATTCATCATCGAAAGAATCTATAACAAGATCACCATCATTATCTTATAATCGTTATCAACAACAACAACAACGAAATGATTATGAACATAATCGATCATATGATAGATCAAATCGTTATTCACAAAGAAATATGAATAAAACTTCACGTCATCAAAGATTTAATTATAATCATCAATCAGTCGCTGAACATCCACGTTTTATTAATACCGATGCAATACCTCCACTAATAGCAGGTTACAAGTCGAATTTATTTAATACATCTAATATTTTATCATCAAATACAAATATAAATCGAAAGTAAGAAATTCAGATTTTATCTTATAGAGCGAAAAAAAGATATTCAAACTACTATTTTCCATCTCCATAGTCTTTTGTATAAGTCATCGTGGATCTATATTTTCATTAGATTTTTACAATGGTAAGCGAGATTTAACAGGAAATCGTAGTAATCAATATTAACTATATATCATCCTGATTAATGCACTTTAATTTTATACAGTGTATTCTAAAATAAATCAGAAAAATTGGTTCACAATATTCCGTGTTTCTTATATATCATAAATAAGTATATATGATATTTCCTTCATCTTTTTATCTACGCTTATATCTTCAAGATACTGTTTATTTGTTCTTATTCAATCGACTATATCTAAAATGCTTTATATTCTATCTGCGATCACTTTCTTCTTCATTAATATTGTTTAGTTTTCATGCTATTATTCTCATTTTCTTATTTAGAATAGTTTATTACACAATATTATATTCTATATAATAGTACTGGTAGGAGTGTATATATATGTATTCATGTTATTAAAATACAAATTATTCGAGTCTTACATGTTTTAATAATAATCAAGATAAAAAATAAAACTTGCAAGACTCGAATTACTTCATATTCTAATATATTTATTGTGCCATTTTGCTTTATTTGTTCTAGTTACTAATAGTTTCTCATATATTTTTTAACTGTATTGTGTTTCTTTTCAGTCATAATGCTTCATATTATAATGAAACATCGTCGAATCCTCAATATTATCAAGATAATTATGATAATAATCTTATACAACCTCCACCACTTATGTCAACGAACCCAATAATGAATTTTAATAATTCATTTGATCCAAAACCATCGACCACAATCGAACGTTTACAAATGTTACTCCAAGATAGAACAAAGACATCACATGAGTCTAGACAATCGACAAGAACAGATTATTCTTCATCATCTTCTTATATGATGAATTCACAACAAGATAATAATAATTCGCAATGGTCTTCATCGCAATATTCTTCAAGTGCAACAACAAATACAAATCCACAAACTTTTTCTTATAATGATGCTGAACAACTATTATCAATTGTGCAAAATTTGCGCAATTAAAAAGATGCATATTTTTTTCATGTTTTCCGCCATTTATTTTTGTTTTGTTACATAAAAACCAGTTCTTTCCATTTAAATTAAATGTACAAATAGGATACTAACAACGGTAGTGAAATTAAGTACTTATACATTTTGTTTCGTTGTGATAGAATAGACAAGTTTTTGAATCTTGTTATTCATCTTTTTTGTATATAAATCGTTTAAAAAACTTGAACTATGAAAGGATTAAACAATAAAAACATGTTTTATCCTGAAATATGAAAGACTTGAATTTATTTATTTATCAAAATTTTGTTCACTATACAATGGTTTATAATTTAAAAATTTCGGATAAATAATTGACAATTGATTACTATGAATTGATAATAATGAATGAAAATTTCGATGAATTTCATGTGTATTATCATATAAAATACATTTACGCATATGAAATGATCTTGATAATGAATTAACAATAGAAATATCAAATTGAAATGCTGGTTTGATATGTTCAAATGCTAATCGTATAGTTTTATGTAAATGTTTTAATAAATGATTAGCATCAACACTACCTATCCAAAATCGAAATGTATTTAAATTTGGATAATTAGTTGGCTTAAGAACTTTTTCAAGATATTGTATTGTTGCACGATTAAGATGATAATTAATTGATAAAATTTCAATTATTTCAAGTGTACAAAATCTATCAATAAGTAAAGGTGTTAACTGAAAATTTGTATTACTAATAACAATAAATTTTCGTAAATATTGAAAAATATTTGCAGAATAAAGTCTTGCTAATTTTGAATGGAATGTCATTGGTATTTTGACATCTAAAATTAATGTTTTTAAATGATTATTATTTTGTATATTAAGATCGTCATTTTGAAGTTCATAATTTGGTATACGTATACTTAAATGATGTAAATCTAATGTATGAAGAATTGTTCGAATTAAATAATGTATAATATTTTCATATTGAAATAACGATTCATTTATATTTAAATATTGATGAATAGCTGAATGACGAATACAATGATGTTTATATTGTTCATGAAATATTGAACATATTTGTTTCATATTTGATAAATGTGAAATTAGATTAAGTGAAAGGAGATTTTTATTTAATGAATGAATTTGATATGGAATAGATGTTGATAATGTTTGACAATGACATTCAAATTGATTAATGTATATTAATAAGCAAGGTGATAAACTTAATGATCGAAGTAAATGTAATGAATTGAAAAGATATTTTAAATCAATTGAATGACAATGAATACCAGTTAGATTCAGATTAGTTAATTTATTTGACCAAGAATATTTGAGATTGAAATGAAAAATAGATGATTGAGTATCATCGAGAAATTCAAAAGAAAATTCATCAATAACTGCTTCAGATGCCTAATGAAACAAATAAAGAAAAGTTTCATACAATTAAAAACTAGAGCAATTACTATTATATAATACACACAGATCTACTGAGTATCTTAACCCAGAGTTGTAACCGATCGGTTCTCATCGGTAGGTTGCTGCATCGGGAGTTGTTTGGCGTTCTTTGGGATTGGGTATTCTCAAAATAGAGACTTCACCTTAGTTCTTCGATTCTTTTGAAGATGTACGATGAATAGACAATAAAATTCTCTATCAGGTCATTGTATTTTCGGATCTCACTCAAGATGTATCGCAGGAGAAATACAAACGAGATTCAAAAACCCGAAAAAAACCGGATTTTTCTAATCTCGTCGATATATCTCCTGCAATACATCTTCAGTGAGATCCGAAAATACAATGGCCTGATAGAGAACTTTATTCTCTATTTATCATACATGCTCAAAGGAATTCGAGAAGTAACCTGAGGTCTCTATTTTGAGAATACTCAATCCTGAAAAGATCCAGGTGCAGTACCCTACTCATCGGTCTAAAAAGAGTTTAAGACAGACTGGCGACCAGCCGAACCGGTTACAACTTTGTCTTGAAGAGTATATATAATAGAAATTTATCAGATAGTAGTATTAAGTAAAATCGCAATGTTTTTTTTTTGTTGCAAACTGCAAGTCCTATTCTTTCCATTGAGAACATATGAGCAATTCTCAAAATAAACTTCTCATTTGATATAAGACGAGATTCGTCGTGTCTGTAGTCTTATTCATAAGATTTTTAATAGAATTAGTAATTTTATGTAGAACTTGATTTGTAGGCATTCAGTTAAGTCTAAAATCTGATCTCTTTTAAATACAGCTATTTCTCGCTAGCACTATGAGAGAAGAAATGTGTAAATTGATTTCTTTCGTGTTTTCTGACCTTTTCAAGTTCTGAAGATTGATTTGGAAAAGTTGGTTTTTCCATCTCTTTTTCTTCTTCTTCATCCGGAGTCGTTACTTCGTCAAAACAATTTTCAAATACAGAACTAAATTGTGTTGACGAAGTTGTTATTTGTTTATTATTTTCTTTTTTCCATATAATAACAAATCTTGTAGATTGCCATTCATTTAAACAAATAGTTAAATTTCGCAAAGAATGAGAACGATGACAAAGAAGAATATCATCAAGCCGTATTAATTCATTTCGATCTTTGACATTTACATAACCAATATCAAGTATTTTTAATTGATTCAGATCAAGTTTATCAATTGAAGGTAAACATGGTATTACTAAAGTTTCCATTTGTAATTTTTCATTTAAAGAATCTTTTAATTTTAATGTTAAATTCATATTTAACATCGAACGAAAAGAAACTATTAAATGTTTTATTGTCGAATGAAGAGATATATCTATTGGCCCAACTGATATTTCTGTAGATGTATCATTAGATAAAAATCGATCTTTAATTTCATAACCATTTTCTTCAATAGATATCAATTTACAATTATTTGTCATATTCGATATATAATCACAAGCAGAACGAAAATATAAACGAGCATCTGCATTAGAAAGACATCCTCCTATGAAAAAATATAAAAATAATATTTCTTTTTTTGTTTATCTATAAAATTCACCTTTTTTATCTTGTAATACTAATGATATATGTTCAAGTTGATTAATTTGATTCAATGATGTACATATTTCTTGAAATACATTATCAATTATTGGATTTTGACGAGTTGTTGAAGATGATAGAGATAAATCATCAAGTGATATTAATAAAGTAATATATTTTAAAAAGGGAAAAAGTATTTTAATATCATTAATTAATGTACTTTTTGATAATGAAACATTTCCAGAATGAAAACAGACTAATAAACGAAAATATGAAAGTAAACGACGTATATCAGCTGTTATCATCCAATTAAGATTATCGATACGAAGATCGACACAGCATATTGCAATTTCTTTGGTAAAAGAGAATAAAATAGTCTTGTTATGCAATGATGATAATCGAATATGACTATAAAATAAAAATTTCAAGTTTATTTTTAAATATATAGAACTATCGTATGTAGGAAGCTGCGGGTCTAACAAAGAAATTTTTTTCTCGGGTCTAGGTCGGGTCCGGGTTCAAAAAGGCGTGAACCCACAGCTCTCTAATCGTATGTTAACCATCGAGAAAGTTTATCAATCGAAATTTTAAATGATATCATCTGGCAATATTAGTTTCGTGTATTAGATCAAAAATGCAGAGAAGAAAACTCCTTATGTTTAACAACTCAATTCAATCAAGGCTCTATGAATTATTATAAAAGTTGTACGGTGATTCCAAAAAAAAATGAAACCGAGCTTTTGGAACCGCTCTTTTCTCATTTCCACTGACCGGAATCGCGGTTCTTGGTCCGGTTCCGGATAATTTTTGGCATCTCCGTACTCTATCATTAAACTGATATTTTAACGAATCTATTTTCGCTTCTACATTATATGCTAGGAACCGAATCGGAACCACTCTTTTCCCATTTCTTAAGATCGTTCTTATCTATGTAAATGTCTGTTAATTACTTAGAGAAATTCACCTCCAAAATGCACGTAAATTGATCATTGTTGATAATTCATAATCGAGTGCAAGAAGTAAATGCCACATATCTATTGATGATGGACATTTAGATAGAATTGTATATAGTAAATCTTCATGTAATGATTTTACTGTTGTCATCTGAAGAGAAAATTTCGTTTGTTTTTATTTATTTTTTCGAAATTTTATTACGAAATTAATTTCTTTTTTCATTTTAAGAGACACGAGAGCAAAAAAAAGAACGGAAGACAAAATATAGATAAATGATTTATCACAATAAAATCACCAGTCATCAATATCATTCGTTTGATCGTTAAGTACAAGTTGAATTGCATTTCGAGTATTATTTGATATAAGTAATGAACCATCATTCATTAATACTATTGATGAATATTGTGAATCTCGATTAGATTTTGACATTGTGGTACTATTATTAAATATTGGAGAAGTATTTAAAGGTAATAATTTAATTTGACCAATTTCTTTTTCATAATTAAAAAATCGTAGGACATGACAAACTTGATCAATAATGAAAAATGATGAAATATTTGTAAAATGAACAATAAATGGTAAATCAAAATATCTATTCAATAAAATTATTCGACGAACAAAACACATATTAGATTTATTGAATACTAATAAACGTATATCTTCGTTTTGTGACGCAGCTTGATCTAAAATATAATTAAGTTAAATTACTACAAAAACAAAATTTATGTTGTTATAGAACAAAATCTAAAGACCGCATATGACGAGCTTCAGACAATGTTTTATCTAGTGGAGGGATAGTAGAGCCTATCGGGTCCACACTGTTTTGGACCCGGACCCGATCCCGATGAGCACTAGAGCCTGAACTCGAACTGTATTTTTAGATTCTCAGTAAATTTTTCTACTTGAAATCTGATAGTTGCTTCGAAATTAGTTTTGTTGTTGTTTTTTCTATTATTTTTATAAATAAATGCAAGACTTTTTGAATGAAATGAATAAAAAATTAAAGAAATTCAAAAAAAATATTATGTTGATAACATATTTCTTTCGATTCGGATCCGGTCAGTAAAAGCTTCGATACCCGGACCCGATGGGCTCTAGGGAAGAGGGGACAAGCATGGGACATTTCGCACTCTCGAAGACAGTTTTTTGTCTCTCGTCCTTCCCCTTCCGGAATCGGTTTTGGTCCCTCGGAGGTGAAATCCAGGATAAAATACTGACTTCAGAATCGTTAGATTCAGATGTGATTTGCAATCTTTTGAATTCAAACTATCTATAGAGTTAGATTTGGATATGAATTTTGTAGAATCTAACATTTACGACTAAATAATTCATACTCCTCAATGATAACCCCAGGTTAGTTTCATTGAAATTTAAATCTGAATTAAGTCTAGTAGATTTTCCTATAAAAAAAGAGATGCTATCTTTTTGTTAAACATTTATCGGGTTTATAATTTTACTACAATGATAGTATTAACTCATGAGATGCATTCGATTTACTTATAAACACTGAAATTTTATATAATTACATGTCATTTTTTCGATATACTCGAAAGAAAACTGAGACGATTCACTAAATATCCCAGTTTTTTTCTTTAGTCAAAAGAATGATATATTACCTGCTAGATTATGATCTATTGCAGACCGGACAAATAAAACAACCTAAATATATTACAAAAAAGAAATTTTCGAATTAATATTCCTAATTATCTTCTTACATATTCTTGATTAACACCGAGATTTAAAACAAAACCATTATCATGAGAACGAATATGTTCATCTCTTTGAAAACATTTATCAATTGAATACGATTGAATACATTCAAATGTTGGATTTAATAAACGTAATCGTTTACTTTCATCTGCTCTTTCATAATAAATATATATATGATATTCATCTGTACGTAAAAACATCTGTTCTTTTATAATATCAATATTATGTTTAGGTAAACAAGTACGTAAACGAATTTTTAAACGAAGATTATATGTTGATTCAATTGTATAGATTTCATATTGTTTATCATCTGTTATTATAACAAATGATTGAAGATTATCGAACCAAACAAGTTGTATAACATGTCCGTGATACCATTGAAGTATAACTGAATTTATAGTTCCATCACGAACAAAAATCAATTGTTTTGATTCATGAGAATAACATCTAAACGAGAAAAAAAACAAAATTCATATTTATAAGTTTTAATATTATTACTAACAAAATATCATTGCCATTTGATGCTATTAAATGAATATTCGATGTAAAATATCGTGAACTACTAAGACGATATAATTTTGGATCAAGTAAATATTCTGAATCATTATCGATATTTGTTTCTAATTGTTCATGCCATTGAAAATTATTTTCTTCATCGTCATCTTCATCTTTTGGCGTAACAAATGTTTGTGACGTATCGGAAAAAAACAATGGCGTTGTTGTATGCATAGATGATAATGAAAGACGTGACGAAGGTAATGGAATATTTGTTACTTCATTACTTTCAATATCCCAATCTTCTTCGATTGATGATGAATTTTTAAATTCATACGAAATTTTATATCGTGGTTGAAATATATGTGAATCTGGTAGATAAATATCTTTTATAATTTGATAATTCGAAAGTTTGATTTTTAAATCATTAAGTTTTGTTTCAATTGATTTTATATTTATATTATCATTTAATTCTTGTATTTCGTTATTAATTAATTGTAAATTTTTATCAAATTTTGTTAATTCATTTCGAGCTTGATCACGTTCATATTCGATATTATTAACAATTTGTGATTGAGTTTCAATAAGATCATTAATCAGCTTTTGATACCAATTAATAACAATTTCAATTGATTCATGACTTGTATCATTAATATATTTTTCTTTTTCATTTATTTTATTTCTTAAATCATCATAGACAATTTTTAGTTCAGATATTTCTTGTTCATGAATTTTATTATGATTTAATAAACATTCGGAACATAATGAAAGTTTACATTGTGAACAATCAGTTACTGATAAACGAAAACGATTATATTCTTCTGTACAATAATAACATTCTTTATTTTGTGAATCAGTTGATTCCATTTTGTTTTCTTCGAAATAATTAATGTTAATTGACAATTCACAAGAAAAATATATGGAAGGTAGGAGAATGCATTGCGCTTCAATATGATTGGTTAGAGAAGTTTCCAACAAATACATTGTAGTATGATGTCGTTTTATATTGAACAGAACACTTGATATTATTAAAATTTATTCATTGAGGATTATTTAACAAACTCTTAACTATCAGTGATGGATTTAGGGGGGGGGGGCGTTCGTCCTTCCTTCCGAATTTTTTTTTTATTCTTTACAGCAGAAATGAACGAAAAAATAGATTCACACTACTTCGGTTGGACTCAAAAAAATAGCTTTTAACCAAAATCGTCCACCCACACCCAGGTATCGCCCCTCCATACTAAAAAAGAAAAAAAAATCGCGCCCCCCCCCCTACCAAAATCCTAGATCCACCACTGCCGCCACCCTCTTCAGAATTTTTTTTTGATTTTTTACAGCAAAAATAGGTTCACAGTACTCCGACTGGACTAAAAAATAGTTTTTAGCAGAAATCGCCCCTCCTTTCCAAAATTCTAGATCCGCCACCGTTATCTATTTGAATATGATTCTATTCTCAGCAGTATCCTATCTTTATTTTAAATATATGCAAACAAGGAAAATCATATTCCAATAGTTCAGTGACAGAACAGTATGCTTTCAAATAAGCAAGAACGGAGTGTTGATATTTTACGATAAGAAAAGCCAGATGTCAGAATATTGTCAATTATTTTAATTTAATAATGATGTATGAACATTATCATTCATTTAGACAGTTTTATGACATCACATTTAATAAATCTGCAGAGTTTTACTATCAGAGAATAATAGAATTATTATGATCTAGATTCTTTTAAACATATTTATATTGTTTGATTTATGAATAATAAAATTGACTAATAACAATAACTTACAAATTCTTATTCTGTTTTGTTAATCAACAAAATCATGTTTATATAGTTTTTTTGTATGGTAAGAATCACTATATAGATTGACAATTATTTAACATTAACTTGTATGTCAAAGTACTTACTCACAAACGAAACGCAAAACTATAAGATCGATTTTCGATATTATCTTTTGTATTAGTTATGCCCCATTGATATGTATTTATTGCTCAATCGATTTAATAAAGTTTTTTATTAACAAAAAAATATTATTATTTTATATAAAGATTAAAAGAAAGAAATAATAAATTACACATTTAAAGTTCATTTAACACTCTTTTTAAACAAAATGTAAATAATTTTTTTTTCTTTCTTTTTTTGTTGTATCTGAACTACACTAATAAAGCAAAAGAAAACAAATGTTAATCAATAGAGCCCATAAATATTTTAAACATATGTGTATATATATACATACATATGTATATATATATATATACTTCACAAATTAAACTAAACTACTTAAAACAGGATTCTGTTTTTTTTCTCAAGGTTATTGAAAACAACACACACACATGCACGTAAGAATATCCATTTTACGCATCTATATAATACCATTATCATCTTGTAAAAGTTCAACACATTGTAATTGTTGAGTACCATTAGCAATTATAATATGATTTTTATTATGTAATGCTAGTGCACGTCCTGTACGATGTAATTTAACATATTCTTTTTTACCATTATGATCAACAATCCATAACTTTTTTCTACCATTTGTTATAAAAAATAATCCATCATTATTATGACGAATTTCATGATCAATATCACATTCACCTAAATGTATTGTACATAATTCTTGTAAATTTTTAATATCACACAATGTTAAATGAAAAAATTTTCGATAAGATAAAGAACTGGACATTTTATTAAATTGAAATAATGTTGCAAATATATTTGTCTGTACACAAAATGATGTACTATTATCGAAAAAACGTGGATAATCTTTTAAATCATAGATTCTTATACAATCAAATGTTATTGGTGAATATTTACGTAATTGACTTGTTCGAGGAGTATCCGACCAAAGCCAAATTGCATCTTGATCAGCTGATATTCTTACATATGTCCATAGTTGTATTAATTGCATTTTAATATCAATTTTTGAATTTTTAATCGTACATGTATAAATACCAGTTTTTGTTGCACATATAAATTGTGATGATCCAGGTGAATAAATTAAATCAATAACAGGTTGATGTGGCCATCGACATGTGATTTCATTTGTTGTTGATGTACCATTAGCTTGTCTTGTTGACTCAATATTTGTTATATAACAAAGTGATTTTGATGTATCAGAATAATAAAGTAAATGTTCACCATCACTTGCAATTCTATCAACTTCATTTTGTGTAAATATTGTACCTTGTTGAATAAAACGTGTACTTAAACAATTTTCATTATTAATACGATTATTAATTTGTTCAGATTCATCTAATAAACTACAACTCTTACTATCAATATCATTATAACCACCACCATCATCATCATCTGTATTTAGATTAGGATCAATAATAGGATCAGTTTGAATTTGTTTATTTGTAAGACTATGTTCAATAAGTTCTTCAACTTGTGTTTCAACATCAATTTTATCGTTTCGTAAATCAATATCTTTTGAACATGAACAACGTGTTACAATTGTTTTACCTGGATATATATGAGAAAATTTGTTTGTTGATTTATAAGAATTTAAAAGTAATTGACATTGTAAATCAAGGTTATTTCGTGGATATGTTGACATTTTTATTTGTAAATTTGGTGATGAAAACATTTCAAGACGATGTTCAATATCATTAATTTGTTTTTGTTGTAATTCAAGTTCAACCATAACATTCTTTGTTATACCATTACGAGACCAATTTTCTTGTGATTTAGTAATCAATGGCATACATTTTGCCATTAATTCTGACATAATTATCTAGAAGATAATTCTTTTCATTTAATTTTTTATTCTATTATAACAAAAAAAAAACTTACTTCAGCATCATTAAATTCTTTTCTAACATAATTTATACTTTCATATCGAAGATTTTCTAAATCATTAATTGCTTCATCAAATACAGCATTTACACTACGCATACAATGATCTTGAAATTGTTCAAAAAATTGTCGTTTATCATCAAGAAGATTTGTTAATTTTGAAAATCTTTTTTGTAATTGCGAATATTCACCAATTAATTGACTTGTATGTTTTTCAAAACATTCATAACACATTGCTAAACCACAATGATCACAAGTAAAACATGCTAAAGATTTATTTGTATTATTTGAGTTTGATGAACATACTTGACAATAATGTTCATCAAGTGTAGGTATTCTTGGACGATAACTCATGATTGATTGATTCCTAATGATAGAAATTTTTTGATGTAGTTAAAATTTGGTTGTATGGTTAATAACAAAAAAGAAAATGTCTTTGTCGTTGTCGCCGCTACAACTGACGTCGTTTTTTCTTTTTCTACTTTTGCTTTTAACTGCATGTTTGATTAACGTCGTGAGGAATCGTAGTAGTAAAAGAAGAAAGCGAACAATAATAATCGGCAATGTAGTAGCAATCACCAATTTTCATTCAAAAAGAAACGTACACTTCTTCTACTATTTTCTCTATATGTGTGTGTGTGTGTGTATTTGTCTCTCTAACACTCTTACAACAATTGTTGACTTAAATTAAAGAAAAAGTAAATAAATCTTTGTTTTTTTTTCAACATAGTAAAATATGATTTATAGTAAAAAGAAATTCAATGACATTATTCATAACATTTTTTATTTTATAAGTGTTTTGAAAATTATTTTTTAGCACATTGATACCTGTCAATTCTCTATTAATTATTTAACAAATTTGAAAATTTTTCTTGATAAAATATTTCTATTAATAAATAACATAGATAAAAAAAAACGTATATTTATTCAAGTAGACACGATATTTATTATTAAAAAAATATTATTATTTTAACCCTAGTATTTTTTTGAGTTATTTGATTCGAGTAAAAGTATTTTTAGAAAAAAGTTTTTTTTCTCAAGGCCACTTATTATCTGAAGAACAATTTATTTATTTCTATTAACATTTATAATAGAATAAATTCACAGGAAGTTTTTTGTTGACTTTAAAACTAGTTCACATACGTCATTGAAAGTATGTAACTAGACGGTGGCTCAACCCACCTACGCATGGTCACCGCTATTGAAAAACTACTCCCTCCCTGGAACTCATTTCTGGTATTGATTGAGAATGATTTTATTCTCATAGAATTATTTATAAGGATAAAATTTCACTTAAACAATAACAGTTATATGATTTAAAATAAACACTATCACATATATGATCAAAGGTTTTGTATTGATAGATATTTACAACAATCAAAAAATGTACAAATCTAATACTTCTAAAGTTAATGGTATTTTTCTTTCACCTGTGATATATTAATGGAATTTAGATAGTTGACATTTGTGACGTTGAAAGTACTTGTACCTATCATATAAAGTTCCGACAGTCAAGTGCACTTCAATAGAGTTATAGAAACAATGGAAAATTTCCAGATTAGATATTTGCTTAAATCGTATAGAAAAAAAAAGTTATTTATAAGTAAATCGTTCCGATCTCATCATTTCTGTACCATTGTTTCATCTGGTAGGCGGACTGAGTAGGCGGCGCCCATCCGAAATTTCGATTCGCCCACCCATAATACGAGACTTAGACAAAGCACTGTTAGGCGGCGCCCGCCCACAATTTTCATTTCGCCCACCCAAAAAAAGAAATCTGGATAAAACACTGTTCTATATTTCAAGTTCGTAAAATTCAAATGAATAGATTCTTTTTTCCACGTTTTTTATTCTTTTCAAACATATCAATTTGAAATACAACAACAAAAAATAAATTAAATATTTTGTTAACATATATATATATTCCTAAATACAATAAAAGGAACAAACAAAACAACATTTTTATTTCTTATCTTTTATTGATCACAACAATAAAGAATAAATAATATACATCAAAACAATGAGATAAAAATAAATGTTATAATACAACAAAAAGGAAGAAAAAAATCCCAAAATAATAAAAATATAAGGAATAATCTCTATTTATTAATAGTTATTATCTTTTATTGATTTTCTTAAAAGAAAAACTTATCATCTGACATAGAATTTTTATTGTTCAATAATATCTTGTTCTTCTAATTGCTTTAATTCTTGTAAAACAGGAATAGCCGAAATCATATCTGAATCAATTTTATTCCAATAGACACGTTCTGGACGTGGAAATGAACGTTTAGTATAAATATATCGTTTTGGTGTTACAATAATATCAACAGATAAATCATGTTGTTCCATAACACTACTTGATAAATCATTAATTAATTGACTTTCATGACAAGTTGTTATAACAATCGTCTTATCTGTTACACAACCCATTTGTGACATAATTCCGTATTCTAAATCTCCATAACCTTTACCTTTACCTATACGAGCACCAGTTATAGGATTAACAGCAACTGATGCAACGATAACTATATCTACATGAATTTGTTTTAATGCTTGTAATTGTATAACAGTACCTAATTCAGCAGCACCAGCTTTTGTTGCTGCCCATTCCAATTGATTACGACGTAAATATTTTGGATCTAATTTATAGAAGAGAACCGATTCTAGAAATTAAAAAGAAAGGAATATTATTAGTTCTTCATATTCTGAAGTATTTTCGCATCTTCTATTGATATTCATCGCAGTATAACATTAGCAAGGAGAAAATACATGTCTTGCATTAAAATGCAGATAAGCTTGGTTTAGCTAAGATATATTTAAGATTATACGAAATACTAACCGAGTGCAGGCGTTGGTGTTAATAGTATTTTGTTATAAGATAATGTTAAATAACGCAGAGGTTCTTGAGCAAGTGATGGATTAATTTTGATAATACGTGCTCGTTTAAAACAATCTAAACTAGTTACATTTTCAGCAGCTAATTCACAATAACGAAAATTTGGTATTCGGCCATGAGACGGACGTGGAAAACGAACTTCATTTCTAAATAATTTCAGTAAATTTATATATAAATAGAATATCAATGATGTTTTTACTTCATTTCCATCAAATCCCATATAAGTTGTCGTGTTTTTGCTTTAAATGTTTTTATATTAGTTATTGATGATTCAGTTTTCGTTGATTTTATTTGTTTATCTTTTATTTGATGATGTTCTTTTAACCATAAATCCATTTTAATTAAAATTTCATTGATATTTTTACTTTTAAGTATATGATTACATGTTATTAAACCATCAATAATATCTCGAATACATATCCATTGATGAACATATTGTCGATGTTGATAACGTGTTTTATTTATTCGACTTTTATTATTATTATTTGATTCATCATCATTCAATAAATTTGTATAACCAATAGCATTACATAGAACTGATGAATTATGATCAACATCAAGTGCACAAACTATAAGAAACGAGAATATAAAGGATTTTAAACAATAATAATTATACTTACTGCATAGATCAGATGTTGGACCAGTTGAATAAAACATACATCGAAGTTTAAAATCTAACCGTTGTTCAATCATTGTTAATAGAGAATCATTTGTATCAGTAATACTTGTTGCTGTCGAACAAGATAAAGCACGTCGACTTGTTTTTTCAGAACTAATTGGTGATGAATTCATATCTGTCGTTGTTGTTGTTGAACCAGATGAACCGGTAATTTGTTTTAATATTGTTGGTCGATCGATATCAAGTAAGCCACAAAGAAAATCTGATGAACGTATTATATCACAAACAGTTCGTTGTGAACCATTTTTAGAAACTTCAACTTCAAATGGTGATAAAAAATAACGATCTCGTTTCCGTGAAAAATTGTAATAGAGTAATACATGTGGAAATTCTTCAATCATTGTCACCGGAAAGAACATGAGCTTCATGTTACCGATGAAAATAATTTTAAGTTAAATAATTATTTCATATCTAAAAACAATAGGATAAAATCATGGTTATCTGTTTTTTGTTTAAGTAGACCTTTGCTACTCTTTTCGCGAAAAAGAAAAACTTTAAGATAAGAAATAAAATAAACATACATATTATATAATAAAAAAAAACAAACAAGGAAGAAAAGGCACCAAACTATCTTTTGTTTTTTATCATTCAATGAACAACGAAAAAAGTTCTTTTCACAATAAAAAATAACTCTTAGATTTGTTGCTTTATGGATATATAATTTAATATTACACATTTACATGTTATGCCGTATGATGGAATGAGAAAAAATTTTAAGAAAAGGAATAAAACTATACATTGATTTATTGATTACCCGTTAAAAAATAAATAAGTTTTCTAAGTTCATTTTGTAATGATTGATTTAAACCGTATTTATATAAATTTAATTGACTGAAATTATCAATATGTAGAATCAATTCTAATAAACAACGTTCTTTAAGTGTTAAAATCCATCTTGATCGTTCTAAATTAAGTTTTGTACATAAATGTATAAGATCATCAATTCTTATTGATGATGTTTTGATTTTAATTAAATTTAATCGAGTTTTATTTAAACAACATTTATTTGAATTCATTGAAAAAAATGAATGTTCAATTAATGATTGAAGATCAATACGTTTATCTGGTTGAAATTGAAACATATGTTTTAATAAATCATATAAATTATCTCTTTTATTATATTCATTTGAATGTATTGCATATCGATTAAATATTTGTTTTAATAAACGATTTAAACGTTGTTGATGACTATCACATTTTATATTTGAAAATAATTGTTTTATATGTGATGGAAAATGATCAATTAATGATAATGTTAAACCACCAACAAATTGCACTATACAAAGTAATTGTAATGATGGATCATCATTTTGTGGTCGAAATAATATTGTATTAATCATCATTTCAACTATAATACAACCAATAGACCAAACATCTTCTTTCGAATTATCAAATGATCCATTGCTGAAAAACAAAATTACAAATAATATGAGACACCTTCATTGATCATTAACGACTAGAATAGAGCGTTAGTACTTGTTGCTAATTATGTGTACTATTGTTTAGAAACAAGTAGTAGGCGTTTGAAGTACAATGTTTATAGAATAAAAATCAAGGTTATAATGACATTTTTCTTCAGTAATTATAGAACAATGTACATATTGTAAACTCAGTATAAGATGTATTATCGAAAAGAAAGAATCTATAAATATATCTATGATGCACTGTCTAGTCGTATTTTTTTAAAAATATTTTTGTCGTTTATTGATAAAAATTGTAATGAATAAAACAATCTCTCTTAAGTGAAAAATTTTATTTCTGTCATTGTTGTTATAAGCCTAAAGTAATGTCTGTTGTTTATAAAGAATAGATTTCTCCTTGAATTTAGAGAAAGCAAAATTTTTTTCCGATTTTAATGGATGTACTCGAATTTTCTTATACTAACAATATTAATATTAATTTTAAACATTTACATTAGAATAATATGAACATCTATGATAATCAAGTGACTATTCTACAAATATTTTTTTTTGTCTATTATATATTGTTTATGTTACAAAATTTTTATGTAAATAACTATACACTTAATAATATTCAAAAGAGCATAGATATTTCCAGTACAGACTAATAAATCGATTTGCAAAAAGAAATATTTATGCTTTCAGAATATTAATAAGTTTACGATTATTGAAATAAAAATATTTGCGGACAAAAAAAAGAGGTTTTACTTTAATATCATAGATATTAATATTATACTAATGTTAATTCTAAATCTTACTCTTTATTAAATATAATCAATCAAATTCTAATATAGAAAAAAAATGAAAAGAATTTTTCTTCAACATACTTAACAAGAGATTCATTTTCAATAATCATACGAATTAAACTTTCTGGTGCATGTCTCCATAAATGATGATGTTGAACAATTCCACCATTTAATTTTGTTGTTGATATTGTTGGTGAACATAATCGAATACGATCATCATGTGTTAATTCAATATTTGTTGTATACCTTTATATATAAAATAAAATCAAGTTTCTTTTATATTAATATATAAATAATAGTTACCAAGGTGTTAATGGACATAAACCTTTTGATTGTAAATAAATAGTACCATTAATTATTTGTAATGATAAACGAGATATACGTTCAAGAGAGAATGTTTGTGATTGAATTGCATGACGTAATGTACCTTGAATAAGACCAGTTATAGAATAAAGACAAGCATCAGCAATATACCAAGATAATATTCGACGAACATTTGGATGTGATAAATGACTTGTTAAAAGTATTCGTTCATATAAATGATTTATATATTGTTGTGTACTTGTTTTTGATTTTAAACAAAGATATTTAGTTATATGTACGGGTTGTTTTAATAATGGATCAATTGCATTTATTGATGGACTATCAATACCACCTAAACAAAAAAATATTTAATAGAAATAGATACATTCTATGAACTAAAAAAATGTATTACCATGAAATAAAGAACCAGATGTTAAATCTTGAGAAGTAATAAATTCACGAGGAATTGTAAACGCTAAATTAGTATCGGTTTCATGATGACCATTTTCTTGTTGTTGAACAACCGAATACTGTTTATAACGAGATGCCCTAAAAATATAATCGTAATTCATTTACTAGTTGACAATTCTAATCCCAATAGGTTTGATTATAGTTTATTTTTCTTATACAATATATCCTTAAGACTTATCACCAAAGAAAGATAAATTAGATTGTCATCTGTCGGCTGTAACTTATTTAGAAACAGATGTATGTATGACTAGTGAATATGTTCTTGTAATGGCACATATAAAAAATAAGAGATTTGTTCCGATCATATCAATATAAGATTAATTCTGAATAAGTTTTTCATTTCATAATGAAAAAGAAAGATATATTAACAGACGAAGTATGCTACTTACCACATGATAAGAAGAATAAAAATAATCACATATTAGTCGTCGATAAGAAAAATCTACAAGAGTATGAAATGAATATATATATACTGTTTTTTTTTATTGAGAAAAATTATTATATTTTAAAAAAATTTGTAGTTGTAAGATATATTTAATACAAAATCGTACAGTAATAAAAAAAAGTCTGTGTGTCGTGTAAAGTCTTTTCAAAAATATTTCTATCGTATTGTGAAATGGGCTTCATGACGTAAGAATTTTTTTTCCTTCTATTTTATGTATGGGGAAGCATATTTTACTTCAACGTGACACACGTGTTACTTGAAGAATAATAATATCAATGTATTTCTGTACTCGCGAGGATTATAATACAGAATAGATAAAAAGTATATCATATAGAATGATCAATGTAATTTGATTGGGTTATATATTCATTCTGTGAGTTCCTCAGTCAGTATTTTATCATATATAATAAGCAGAGATAAATTAATAGTGAATAGATAGACCTCAATGAGGTATGAAAAACCTCAGGAGGATTTGTGCCCTCGTGCCTTCTATTTACAGTTATAGGCATATTACTGAAATTTTTACCTATAGCAAGGAATCGACTAACAAATCGAATGTTGATATTTCGAGCTAAGATTTCGCCCACAGACAGATCTATAGGTAGGTAGAATACCCTGAAAATTTCAGCTTAATAAAATATTTCCTTTACAAGATATCAAAATGTCAAAGGCCATTCTTATCTTCCGAAAGATGCTGGAATTTTTCGTTTTTTGAGACTTTGATATCTCGTGAAGAAAATATTTTTTTGAGCTGAAATTTTCAAGGTATTCTACTTACCTATAGATCTGTCTGTGGGAGAAATCTTAGCTCGAAATATCGACATTCGATTTGTTAGTAGATTCCTTACTATAGGTAAAGATTTCAGTAATATGCCTATAACTCTAAATAGAAGGCACGAGGGCACAAATCCTCTTGAGGTCTATCTATTGTCAAAAGACAGGGCTTTATCATCTGAGGAGGTTCTCTCGTTAGATGGCTATCTGTAAGATTAGAACAATATACTCATTTTCAAACTTCTACTATAATTTATGAATAGCTCGAAGAATTTCTTTTATCTCATTGAAATACAAGTTACAAGTAATTTTCTATTTGAAGTCAATATAAAGAAACAAGAAGAAGACATGATAAAGGATCACGAATGTTTTTTTATTGAAGAGAAAAATGAGCGTAACGCAGCATAAAGAGGTATGAAAAGAAAAGGGCTACAAATGAATTCAGCCAAGAAGAAGGCAAATAAGATTGATCTACATACAATGACATTACGAATGGTGAATAAGGGTTGTGTATAATATCTGTGTTAGAAATGGAAAAAATAATAATAATAATGTACGCAAACAATAACGGTGAAATGAGAATTGTTAATAGAGAGAGATGTTGATTATTTTTCTACAAATAATAATAATTGTTGGAAAAATGAAATAAATAAAATGAATCCATATATAAGTGATAGATACACTGTTCGAGAAGCGCGAGATACAATGAATTATACACATACACAAAAACCTACAACATCCATTACGTAAATGTCTAAATAACAAGGAAACATCGGGGGGAGAAAGACTCTACTCATTTATTTTTGTTTGCACAAACTATTAAATGAATATATTTTCTTTTTTTTTGATATTTTGTTTTTCTTGTTTCGATAACCGGAACACAAAATTTACAGTCAAAAGACCAAAAGAAAAAAGAAAAGAAAAAGAAAATTATGATAGTAAGCTGTGCAACGGTCAATGATAAAAAATATGTGTATCATAATTGAGAGTTCTATAATGAGATAATTGCATCTAGATGATTAAACAAGTACACAAAAGACGTTTTATACATAAGAAAGAAAGAAAGAAAACAGCTGGCTATATTTGAGAAGAAAAAGCGGTTAATGTCAGATTTGTATTGTGTTCCAGATCTAATTTCGTTGTGGAACTGGTGGGCGTTCAAATGGTCGTGGTGGAATGGATGGTGTTGGCCGTCTATAAAAGAATAAAAATGAATTCATGTATTTTTTTTTATTTTCATTAAAATTAGATAATAAATTAATATAAACAACAATAATAATAATAACAATATTCATTCATTAGCTTATATAATAACTTACAGCGGCGATATAGGTGGTGGCAAACCCCCTGGTTGTGGGCTTGCCCTACCTGGTTGATTTATAGCTGATCTGCAAAAATAAGAAAAGCATTTGCATACTAGTGCTATGTTAGTAGAAGCAGAATATCATCAAAACATGCAATTAGTAAAAAAAATCAATCCGTGCGAAGAAGATTAATCGTTAGATGTATGATTTCGTTTCGTTTTTTTTTTTGATGTATAAACTTACGCTGGTATCGGAGGGGTTGAAGTACCATTTTGGTACTGTGATGAAGACATAGGTGTAGCGAACGGATCTAATCCGTGAAACATGTTATTTGATGGTTGTGATGATGATGATGTCATCGATGATGACTGGGCTCGTCTATATAAGAGTATACATATACGCACAACATCAAATGATAAAATGAAATGAGCCGAAAAAGAAAAAAATAGGTTAGCATAAGTAGCATTTAGAATCGGCTCTTAGTCAATATTTTAGCGTAAGAAGCTGACACTCACGCTACTTGTTTTGCCAATTTTTCGTTTAATTCAGAGAATAGATTAGGTGATGGTGATGAATTGGTGTTAGATTTATATGTTGAAACAGGACTGATAGTAACATTGAATAAATAGACATTTAGCTCATTTATATATATATGTGTGTGTATAGATACACGAAGAAAATAGATGGAAATTATTGATAACTTACTGAGGCATAATTGGTGCTGGTAATGTTGATGAATTTGCGCCAAATCCACTAGGTACTGGACTTGGACGAAGTGGTGGTGGCGGTGGTTCACGTGATGGGAATGAATTTGAAATTGGATTTGAAGGTGCTGGTTGTTTACGTGATGGATTTGGACTTGCTGGACGATTTCTAGAGGTAAAAAGAAGTTAAAATAAATAAATGATTAATTATTTATTATCTACATACGCTCCAAATGATTGTTGTTGAAAATAGGATGAAGTATCAAGTGAATTTGATGGATAACCCGATGATGATCCATAACTATTAGTATTACTTGATACACTTGAAAAACCAGCAGCTAAGACTGATGCAGGCATAACTGATCCAGCTACTTTTCGTGCATTGATATGAAAATTTTCAATGATAGTTAAAGCCTAAAAATATACATTTAAATATTTTTTCATAATCTTAGATTTTCGGTCAAAACTTATGATAAGATTCTATAGAACATACATTTTTAATTGCTTCAAATTCTGAAAGTTTTTGTTCACGTCGTTGTCGTTCTTCTTCTGATTCTTGTAATAGTGATTTCTAAATCAAGCATGCATATAATTATACGATTGATTTTAAAAATCTACTTACAGGATCAGGAAGCGCATAAAGATGTGCTAATAATTCCCTTGCTACAAACTTTTGTAAATTTTGAACGATATGATACATAATTGTTTTTGGAATGTAATCACGTGTCATTTTAGCAATTATTTGCATATATGAGGTAACTAATTTATTAATTGTTTCAACTTGTCGTTCCATATGTGGATCAACAGGACCAACTTCAGCTGCTGCTTGTGGATCTTCAGGTGGTTGTTCACGTTCTGGATAAACACCAGCACGTAAAAATGATGCTTTCCATGTATCAAGTTCTTCACTATTATCAACAGATAATTCAAGAGTTTTATGTTCTTTATAAACATTCCTAAAATGAAGGAAACAAAATCTAGTATGTTGAAAAATAAGAATAGAAAAATATTTACTTCATGTCAGTATTAAATATTGCAAATTGTGGTCGTTTAGCCATAAAACCACCTTCAACATCTCGGATTTTAAGATTTTCTAATGGTAACATATATTTCTTTTCTTTTTCATCCGAATCTGTAAACCATGAAAGATTATCAGTTGATAAAACAAAAAAGTAATCTTTGGCTTGAAATAATTTAACACCAGTATGAACACGAAGAAAGCCTCTACGTATAACCTAAAATATAAGAATTTATATACATAACAATCAATAATAAGGACTAAAACGGGAATAAGACAGAACAACAATGATACACAAGAATTTCTACTCAAAAAAAAATTAGCCTGATATGAATAACATACTTGACCCTATAAGAGCAAATTTTTATTAATAGTACATAGCAATCAAAAGGTATGTAGAACAGAAAAAATAAGAAAAATAGGTCAATAAAATTTACCTGATTGGTAACAGTTCGTTTGGCTTCACCGGCAGTAACTGATTTTTCGGCACTAAAAATAAATACATTTTCAGTTTGTATATTCCTTGGAAATCGATTATTTTTCATTCTATAAGTTCCTTAGAAAAGCTTATGTTTTACACAGATGACAGATAAGTCGAGTCATCATTTCGTTGGTGACATCTACAACTCATGATAAGCATATCAATGACAATAGAGGAACTATACAAAATTTATGTTTATTAATTATCGCAATATACAAAAACAAAACCAGCAATTAGTCACTTTTTCAGCAAGTGAATTTTGATAATGTCAGATATGTTTATAAAGCTGATCTTGTATGAGATTCTATTGTAACCAGACACATCATTATCGGAATACATCCGTTCTTTGATTTTTTTTGTCCTAGTCAAGACTATTAAGAATACGAAATCGTTTAATATAGAAAGCGAAGTTAAAAACATCAATAATTCATATGTTTATCGCGCTATTAACTATTACTATCGGTTGACCGATTTTTCTATTCAATCATATAAATAGATCACGAAATGAGATTTAACATCTGGTGTTTATCAAGATTTTTTTCGTCTATTAACATCACATAACCTATCATTAATGAAATAATGTTTATGTAAGTATGATCTTCAAAGAATAAGAAGTCGCGAAAAAAACTACCTGGATAGATTATAAGGATATGTCTCAACAAATATAA